AGGCTCCCCTGCAGACGCTTCACATGGATGTGTGGGGCCCAGCCCCCGTCCGTGGGCAGGGTTACGAGCGCTACTTCCTGTTGGTGGTTGACGACTACTCGCGTTACACCACAGTCCTCCCCTTGCGGAGCAAGGGTGCGGTCACTGAGGTGCTGATCGACTGGATCCGCGAGGCTCGTCTCCAGCTCAGGAAGAGCTTCGGCTCGGACTTTCCTGTTCTGCGTCTGCACTCTGACAGAGGCGGAGAGTTCTCTTCTCGCCTTCTGCGGGACTACTGTCGTGCACGGGGGATCCGCCAGACCTTCACGCTTCCGGACTCACCACAGCAAAATGGGATTGCTGAGCGCCGCATTGGTATGGTCATGGATGTCGCTCGTACGTCCATGATGCATGCGGCTGCCCCCCATTTTCTGCGGTGAGGTACGCGGCGCATCAGCTCAACCTTCACCCCCGGGTCTCTCGGCCTGCGATGTCCCCAGCCTTGCTGTGGACGGGGAAGGTTGGCGATGCGTCTGTGTTCCGTGTCAGGGGATCTCGGGCGTTTGTCCGCGACTTGTCTGCGGACAAGCTGTCCCCTCGTGCTGCTCCCTGTGTCTTCCTTGGCTTCCCCACTGACGCCCCAGGGTGGCAGTTTTACCACCCCTCCTCTCGTCGTGTTCTGTCCTCCCAGGACGTCACGTTCGACGAGTCAGTCCCCTTCTACCGTCTCTTCCCCTACCGCACTCCTTCCCTCCCCCCTCCCCCGGACTTCCTTGTGCCGGTTCCCCCCCCGGTAGACCCCCTCCCCCCTCAGGTTCCTGCCCCCTCAGGTGTGTCCCAGGTAGACGCCGTTGACCCGGTCGAGGTTACTGGTGACTCTGGTGCTGCTGCGGGTGCTGAGCCTGGGGGTGCTGACTCTGGGGGTGCTGTGCGCGGGGGTGCTGAGCCTGGGGTTGCTACTGCTGGGGGTGCTGGGCCTGAGGGTGCTACTGCGGAGGGTGCGGAGCCTGGGGGTGCTGAGCCGGGGGGTGCTGTGCCTGGAGGTGCTGGGTCTAGGGGTGCTGGGTCGGGAGCTGCTGAGCCTGGGGGTGCTGAGCTGGGAGCTGCTGAGCCTGGGGGTGCTGCGTCTGGAGCTGCTGAGCCTGGGGTTTCTCCTGCTGCTGCGTCTCGCCGGGAGCCCCTCTCTCCACAGGAGCTGCGCGAGTGGTTCGCTCGCCGCTGGAGGCGTGCTGCTGAGTCTGGAGGTGCTGCTGGGGCTGGAGCTGGAGCTTCTTCGACCGTCGAGGGTGCGGGTACTGCCGGTCCCGGAGCTGCTGGACCTGCGGGTCCTCCTGGAGCTGGAGCTGCTGAGGGCGCTGGTGCTGAGCCTACTGCTGTTGGTCCTGCCGCTGAAGGTGTGGGTGGCGCTGGTGCTGTCGCTGAGGGTGCTGGTGCTGTCCCTGCTGCGTCTGAAGCTGCCGCGCGGCCTCGGCCATACTTCGTTCCGCTCCTGCAGCAGGTTCTTGGTCTTTCTCCTCCTGTAGAGGGTCCACCGCCTGTCCAGTCGCGGTCCCTACTGGAGCCTTCCTCTCCACTGCCTGCTCCCTCTCCTTACACTGGTCCTACTGGAGGTCTTGCTGAGCGTCGTGAGCCTGCGTCTCGTCCCGCGTCGCCTGTTCGCACTGCTCGCGCTAGTGGTCGCAGTTCGCGTCAGCGTCCTCCTCCTGTCCCTGGCACGCACCAGCTGTCTTTGCGTCCGTCCACTGCTCCTCTGCGTGCCCCTTTGCCTTCTCCTCCTGAGTCCTCTCTTCCTGCGCTTGCCGACCCTGGGTCGGACTCTCTTCGTGCTGCCAGTCCTACTGTCACGCGTCTGCTTGCTACTGTCGTCACTGACCCCTCTTTTGAGTCCACTGCTGCGTCTGCTCTAGTCGCTGAGCTCGTCGACTTTGCTGCTCGCTGTCGTCTCGACTACGCTGCTAGTCTTGTTGCTGAGTCTGCGTCTGTCTGTCCTCCGTCCGTCGGGGGTGAGTGTGCTCTTGGCACGGACGTCCTAGAGGACAGGCAGGAGGAGTTACAGTGTCTAGCGGCTGCTTCACCTCATCTCGCGTCTGTACTGCTTGCCCCTGAGGGAGACCCGGATGCACTAGACATCCCGACTCCGCGTTCTTACGCGGAGGCCGTAGAGGGTCCCTACTCCTCTCAGTGGCAGGCAGCTATGGATGCAGAGATGGCTTCCTGGAAGTCCACAGGCACCTACGTTGACGCGGTTCCCCCTCCTGGGGCGAACATCGTCAGTGGCATGTGGATCTTCAGGGTGAAGCGGCCGCCGGGCTCTCCACCTGTCTTCAAGGCACGGTACGTTGCTCGTGGCTTCAGTCAGCGGCAGGGAGTTGACTACTTTCAGACCTTCTCTCCCACCCCGAAGATGACTACTCTTCGGGTGCTGCTGCACATAGCCGCTCAGCGCGACTACGAGCTTCACTCTCTCGACTTCAGCACTGCGTTCTTGCAGGGTAGCCTGCACGAGGAGATCTGGCTTCGCCGTCCACCTGGCTTCACTGGGACTTTCCCTCCTGGCACCCAGTGGAGCCTCCGACGGCCAGTCTACGGTCTCCGCCAGGCACCGCGTGAGTGGCACGACACACTGAGGACTACGCTTGCGGCTCTTGGGTTTGCTCCTTCTACTGCTGACCCGTCGCTGTTTCTTCGCACCGACACTTCCGTGCCGTCGTTCTACATCCTCGTGTACGTCAACGACTTGGTCTTTGCCACAGCAGACACTGCTGGACTCGCCTACGTGAAGTCCGAGCTGCTGAAGAGACACACGTGCACAGACCTGGGTGAACTGCGCAGCTACCTTGGCTTGCAGATCACTCGGGACAGAGCACGCCGCACCATTACCTTGACTCAGTCACACATGGTGCAGCAGGTCCTTCAGCGCTTCGGCTTCACGTACTCCTCGCCTCAGGCCACTCCTCTGCCTACTCGCCACTCACTCTCAGCTCTGCCTTCGGATGAGTCCGTAGAGTCGAGTGGTCCGTATGCAGAGCTTGTTGGCTGCCTCATGTACCTGATGACCTGCACACGACCTGACCTTGCATACCCTCTGAGCATTCTTGCTCGCTATGTTGCTCCTGGGAGACACAGACCGGAGCACATGGCTGCAGCGAAGAGGGTATTGCGCTACCAGTGCAGCACGTCAGGCATGGGGCTAGTGCTTGGAGGGCGGAGTCCAGTGGTCCTTACCGGCCACGCGGACGCTTCTTGGGCTGACGACCAGGCTACGCAGCGGTCGTCACAGGGTTACACCTTCAGCCTTGGTTCCGGCTCTGTCTCGTGGCGGTCTACTCGCTCGTCTTCGGTTCTCGGCTCCAGTTGTGAGGCTGAGATCTACGCCGGGGCCATGGCTGCACATGAGCTTCGCTGGCTCACCTACCTGCTGACTGACCTTGGAGAGCCGCCTCGTTCTCCTCCAGTGCTGTACGTAGACAACAAGGCCATGCTGGCCTTGTGTCGAGAGCAGCGCTTGGATCACAGAACGAAGCACATTGCTCTCCGCTACTTCCTTGCTCGTGAGCTGCAGCAGCGTGGTCAGTTGCGACTTGCGTACGTGGACTCTGAGGCCAACACTGCTGATGTGTTCACCAAGGCACTCGCGCCTTGTGACCATCAGCGCTTTTGCACCCAGCTGGGTCTTGTGCCTGTCTTGCCTCACTTGCTCTCCTCTTGACTTCACTTGTACTGTGACATATATATATACCTGCTCTTGCTTGTCTAGTTTTATATATATGTCTGTACTCCTGCATGTGAACTGGCCTCTGGCCCTGCTCTTGTGCTCGGACTGTGTGGTGACGTTGTGATCCACCCTGAGCTTGCTTTGCTTTGCTTTGCTTGACTGGTCTTGTGACCCCTTGTTCTCCCCCACTTTGCCTATGGGGGTGTGTCGGATTATTATAACTGATGCATGTTTGTAGGCTATAGTGGGGTAGCACATATGGGGTACAGCTTTCTAGGGTTGTATTTGTACCCAACTCTGACTTAGTCATTCTCATTCCTGTTTTCCTTGCTTCACAACTGACAGTCGCAAGACACAGCAGTTACCTGACCTGACCTGACCTGACCTGGCCCAGTATGGTGGGACCTAGTGTGTAGTGAGTACAGACCAGAGCCCGACTCCAGTGGCACCGACTGTGCAGTTGGCCACTGGCTCGTCCAGAGGGAAAGTAGTGACAACTCCAAGGTCGTGGAGGTGACTAGCACCCACCAAGTTCCTATAGAACGAGAGGGTGTAGTAACCTGTGAGAAACCCAGAGGGAGCTGCCAAACATGGGAGAATGGTGGTGCTGTGGGCTGTTGAGATAAGACTTAGGAGAGCCATGGCGGCCGATTAGGTGAGAAGAAAAAGTTCGAGAGACATTTGAAAGCTAGGGTTGGGAAACCCCAACTGAACCTAAGGCGTGTTCAATGTAGAGACAAATTGCAAAGTGAACCTAAGATGAACCAGAAATGAAACTAAGTCTAAAAGTGGCTGAAGAAATGATATAAGGCCAAAATGAAATGCAGAGCGAACACTAGCCTACTCTAGCATGGGCAACTACAGATCCCACGGAGGGGTCAGCCAAGGCGATAGTGACAGGAGAGTGCAGTGGCGTGAGGTTAGTACAGTCGCGAAAAAAATAGGTGGACGCTCCAAAGTCTAGGGTGAAGGAAAGCTGTGCAGTCGGTGAGGTCGGCCATAAAGGCTAGGACTAGACTAGTGGTAGCTGCAGCTCCCACACTAAGAACCTCTGAGGCACCTGCACTGGAAACTACACAAGCACCAAGTCTGGAGTGTTGGAGTAGGCTAGAGCTCGCTCTGGCATTTATCATGGTGTTCCTTTGTTATTTCGCCATGTTTAGAGCGAGTTACACTTCTGGTTTAGTTTAGGTTCATTTCTTGGTTTCTAGCACAAACTGAACACACCCTGAGTTCAATTAGGGTTTCCGACTTTTGTCTCTCGACACTTTTTCCTAATAAACCTATTCAACCTATCTTGCTAGCCATGGCTACCACTCTCACATTAACATGGTATCTAGAGCCTAATCCTTGGCGTTTTCTGCTTATCTACATCACTTAGGACGCTTTAGACCTTAGGCATCCGGGGCGCCACTTCACACTTAGTGTAGGTTTTTGTTTACTACCATCTCGACCTTCGATTTTCTTTTTCTTTCCCTTATTTTCAACTCACGGACCCCCTTATCCATCCCCCGCGGCCTCCCCACCCCATTGCGCGCCTCGTCGCCTAGTCGCACGCCATTTCCCCTCGTCGCGCGCGCCCTGGCCTGCCTCGTCGTGCGCCCTGCCCTCCCGTCGTGCGTCCTGACGTCCCGTCGCGCGCAAGCGCCCTGCCTCTGCCGTCGCCCGCGCGCCCTGTCCGTCAACGTCGCGCGCGCGCGGGCCTTGTCCGCCGCCGTCACGCGCGCACGGTCTGCCTGCCGCCGTCACTCTCCTCACCGCCCATTCTCTCCTTTCCGCGGCCGCCCTTCCTTCCCCCCCTTTTCGCGGGCATCTTCCTCTCCCTTCATGGTGCGCCGAACCCCTCTTCCCCCCCCCCCCCCCCCCCCCCCCCCACCCCCTTCTCGTGCCTCCTTCGCACCACCTCCTCCCTCTCCGCTCATCACATCCCCCTCCTACACTCCTCCCCCTCTCTTCTCTCCTCCCTACCCTTCACCCTCCTCCTCTCCTCTCCCCCTTCATTCCCCTCCCCATCTCACTCTCTCCTCCGCCTCTCTCCTCTCATCTAATGCTGCAGCCGGTTGCCGACTTTGCTTCATAATCTTGCTCATCAAGACCTACCCCTCCTCACCATCTGCCCCTTCACCCTCCTCCTCCTCTCTTCTCTCCCTTCATTCCCCTCCCCATCTCATTCTCTCATCCGCCTCTCTCTCCTCTCCTCTACAGCTGCAACTGGTTGCCGGCCTTGCTTCGTAGCCATGCTCCTTCCCCACTGTGTTCCTCCTCCTCTATTTTCTCCCCTAAGCGGCGCAGCAACAGACTACTCCGCCGTTATCCCTCCTCCTCTATTTTCTCCCCTCAGCGGGGCAGCAGCAGACTACTCCGCCGTTATCCCTCCTCTTATTTCTCCCCCCAGCGGCGCAGCAGAAGACTACTCCACCATTATCTCTCCTCTTATTTCTCCCCGCAACGGTGCAGCAGCAGACTACTCCGCCATTATCCCTCCTCTTATTTCTCCCCTCAGCGGCTAAGCAGCAGACTACTCCGCGGTTAACCCTCCTCCTCCTATGTCTCCCCTCAACGGCTCAGCAGCTTACTACCTCGTCACAATTCCTCCTCCTCTTATTTCTCCCCTCAATGGTTCAGCAGCTGACTAACTCGTCCCTATTCCTCCTCCTCTTATTGCTCCCCTCAACGGCTCAGCAGCTGACGCTCTCGCCCCTATTGCTCCTCCTCTTCTATCTCCCCACATCTGCTCCATTGCTACCCCCTTCCCCAGATGGGGCCTTTTCTCGCTCTTACCTCTCCCCATCTGAGCTTCTGCACTCACCCGTCTCCTGTCGTTCCTCCTCTCCTACCCTTGCCTTCCCTACTCTCCGCTCTTTTCGCTACCCCTTCCTCCCCTTGCACCTCTCCTACTTGTCGCTGGACCCCCCCTCGTCTCCATCCCTCTGCTTGGATTCCCCTGTCCCATCAACGTCGCCGCTCTTGTGCCATTGTCAGCTCTGGTACTGGTTCTCTGGCCTCTGTCTTCAGTGGGACCATGCCATCTCAGGATAGCATCCTTGGTGCTTCTCCTCTTATAGACCCTCATTTTGTCGTTCCACTTTCTCCATCCGTTCAAAACACTGTCTCTCACTCTTTCAGCCCTACAGCTGCCACTCTCTCACTTCCTTGCACCTTGGATTTTGTCCTTGACAGTGCTGCCACTGACTCTGTCTTTCGTGATGCTGGTGTCCTTCGCAATTTTCCTTGTCCCCTCTCTATTGATGGGGCTAGGGAGACCATGACCATGATACTGTTGGAGACTAAGGACGGAGTCTATGAAGATTAGGTGCCCAAATTTCTCAAAATCGTTGGTCTCAATTTCTGGACAGAAACGTCGACTTCACAAGAAACGTTGTCGACGGCAGATGCACCGTTAGAATTCCACGAAATTCGAATGTGTTGTAGCCCTAAACCGTGGCTACATTTCCCAATTTGAATCGTATCAAAATATGAAGCATATCTTGAGTTATGCTTTTCGGCGCACTAGGGGGTATGCTGCCACAGAAATTTAAATCAATTACAAATTAACTCACAAGTCCCACAAAAGAACATTAGAGAAGCACTAAACCTGGTAGGAGGGGAAGAGGAGGACGAGAGGGAAGGTCCCAAGAGAGAGTCCCCAACCAAGGAAACCCCATACCACACAATTCCCATCTCCATAGGCAACCCAACTTTGACCTTTGTCACTATCCCAACCTCCACAATCCACCTCAACCCAACTTGGCCACACTTGCCAACCTGGTTTGGCTTCACCCAACCTCTTGGCAGCATCTACAGTGATGGGTTCAAATTTCCCAACCCCCACAAGTCTCTACCCAATATTGAGTCAACCCCACAACTTCCCACAGTTGCCACAATCATATACGAAAAGCATACGTACTTCAACGTTCGTAACTTTCTTGTTCGTGCTCCGATTGAAGTGATACTTGGTTCGTCGGAAAGCTCTTGAGTAGAGGAATCACTTCAGATATCTGCTCAAGCCAAATTACATTCACACACACTCAGAAAATTCAAACCACACAAAACACAAATTCTTGCACACGCTCACACCACGCATGCAACGCACGATCATATGATGGGAGGCAGACAGACGTGAATGCATATGGCTGCATCACACAACAAACTCCCCCTCTGGCTGCCTACCATCATCCTTCATGCCATAGCTCAAGCATGCACCCTCAATTCACATTCATTCCAGCAAGCACCATTCACTTCCACCCTCATCCCAATGGACAATGATCTCCTTCCAACATCCCACTTCCAACATCTCCTCTTTGCTCAAATCTGCAGCACCCTCTGCAGCCTCTGTTTCAAAACACTATCCACCAAACCATCTCACACTTGGTAATCAGAGCGGGTTTACACGCGAGGTCTTCAACCGCTTAGTTCCGGCCTTTAAAAACCGCGGGGCGACGACGAAAGCGCTGATACGGGTATGTAAAACCAGTTCCGCGCAATTTTTCTAAGTCCCCCTCGATTCGGTTTTCGAACACCCCTCAGATTTACTGGTGGAAAGGTTGGAGTTTCGACCGTTTGATCGAGTTTCATCTCAACGGCCCAGAGAATTTCGCCCAAAAAAGTTGGAATTTGGAGCGTCGCATCGATTTTCTCCTCAACGGCCGAGATCGGACGCGAATTTCGCCTAAGGGAGATTTACGCAACCTACAGAATTCGCGCTCGTCGATTCTACAGTCAATTTGACTCGCAGTAAGTCGACCAGCACCTAGAATTCGATTATTTTCGTCGCGCATCTTCCTGTAAATCACCAAATGGAGGACCAAGGCGACAACTACGCGACTACGAGCGACATCGCGAGCCTCCGCACCAACATGGAGCAGACGCAGGCGACGCTTCGTCAACTCGAGGCTTTTCTGACAAGCCAACCAGGGTTCGCCACCGCAGCAGCAGCGACCACAGCGACTGCAGCACCGACAACTCCAGCAGCAGTGGCGACACCGACATTTCACAGACCAATGGCACCACTGTCGCCGAACCTCGAAGCAGCACGACCGAGGCTCCCGGAGGCGTTCGATCCAAGCGCGAAGGGATCCGACGTCCGGCGATTCGTGGCCACCCTCAAAATTTACTTCGAGGCCATTGGCTGTTCGACCCCGCAACACGACGCAGCAAGGATTCGGCTCACAGCGACACTGTTACGTGGACCGGCTCTCGAATGGATTTACTACACCGACGTAGCCCGCGGGGAGAAAACGTGGCAGCAGTTTCGGGCAGATTTAATCGGGCGTTCCGAACCAATTAATACAACCTACATGGCGCGGCAGCAGATACACCGACACAAGCAATACAGTAGTGTAACACAGTACACGTAGCAGATGGAGTTACTGTTCAACCGCATCACCGACCTGACCGAAGGCGAAAAAATCCAGGCGTACACCGAAGGATTAAAAATGGAGATTCGGCGGCAGGTGATTGCGGCGAATTACAACAGCTACAGAGACATCGTGCGTGCTGCCGAGCGATACGACGCGCTGACTCGAAGTCAACCCGAAACACGACGCTTCACGCCGAACCGTACATTCGGCACAGAGCGATCGGCACCCCCCACGTTTACCGAACTGATGGATATCGACAAATACGACGCGAAGCAGCAGCCGACAAAATGCGAATTTTGCGGCGCAACAGGACATCAGTTTTTGTCGTGCTACAAAATGAAGAAAGCACGTGCAGCACTCCGGGACAGAAACGGTGGAGCAACCCCGAAGTCAAAAAACGGGAATCGCCAGTAGCCGCGGTTCGACCTGGCGATCGTGTAAAGATCCGAAAAGCAGGAAAAGGCGACGACGTGGCGACTTCGGAGCGGGTGAAAAAAGGAGAAAATGATGGCGCGAATTTAAAACGTCACGACCGGCCGGCATCAGGGGAAATTTCCGAGGCGAATGGAGGCTCCGCGAAAAAAGACTCTGCACCGGCCGGGAAACTCCAGCCGAACACCCACGAAAGTAAGAATTTGTTAAAAGTATCCTATAAAGATGCTCTAACGAAGAATATTGCTTCTCGTGGTTTACAAGCCTTCAAAAAATTCAGGGGAGGTCTACAGGCCAAGAAAAAGCCTTTAGAAATTATTCAGGTACCTGAGAAGTTGGGCAAAATACTACGGAGCGTAGAGAACGAGTGCGTGGTGGTATACCTGGACGAGATTCTCATCTACTCCAAGAACATGAAGGAGTACGTGGAGCATCTGCGGAAGGTGTTCGAGATCCTGTGGAAAAACAAGTTCTACGTGAAGCTGTCAAAGAGCGTCTTCGCCCTGAAGAAGGTGCAGTTTCTCGGGCACATGGTGAGTGCCGAGGGCGTACACGTGGACCCACGGAAGATCGAAGCCGTCAAGAAGTGGAAAGTACCAGAGAACGTGAAGGAGTTGCAGCAGTTCCTAGGCTTCGCCAACTACAACAACAGGTTCGTGCCGCAGTACGCTAAGATAGCAGCGCCACTAACCGACCTACTGAAAAAGGATACGCCCTACAAATGGGATACCCTTCATCAGCAAGCCATGGAGCAGCTACAGACAGCACTGACTACAGCGCCAGTACTCATCTTGCCAGATCCAGACAAAGACTACGTGGTGGAAGCAGACGCTAGTGACCAAGCAGTCGGAGCAGTACTGATGCAGGATCACGGACGCGGTTTGCAGCCCATCGCCTACCTCAGTAAGAAGCTACACGGAGCAGAACTAAACTACCCCATTCACGACAAGGAAGCCTTAGCGATAGTCATAGCCTTCAAGGCGTGGAGGTGTTACCTAGAGGGAGCCTAGACTATAGTCTATACTGACCACTGCAGTCTCAAATACCTAAAGTCACAGCCGACACTCTCACGACGACAGGTGCGGTGGGTGGACTTCCTGGATACTCACTTCCACTACGACATCGTCTACAAGCCCGGGCTACACAACAAGGCAGACGCGTTGAGCTGCCCCGGACATGTAGCAGGCATCCAGCTCGACGGGATGAACCCTCTGCTCAAGGGTCTATTCCAACATGGGTACTCCGTGGACGCAGAGATTGCTACAGCACAGACCAAGAAGCTATTACAGTGGGAGAAAGACTTAGCTATAAGGAAGGGTTCAGGAAAGATTTGGGTACCAAATTACGCCCCGCCACAGAAGATCCTATTGGAGGAGTTTCACGACGTACCTTACACGGGACATTTCGGGAGCAATAAGACGTTAGCAGGGATAGCGAAGTATTACTACTGGCCCGGGATGGCAGCAGACGTGCAGCAGTTCGTCACCTCTTGCGACACGTGCCAACGGATGAAGAGCAGCAAGCAGAAAAAAGCAGGGTTACTTCAGCCTCTACCCGTACCGGAGCAGCTATGGCAGGTGGTTAGCCTCGACTTCATCACCGGACTTCCTTCGACCTCACGGGGACATGATTCCATCCTCGTGGTGATCGATAAGTTCTCCAAAATGGGTCACTTCATACCGACCAACGCCACAGCTACAGCTGAAGCAACTGCTCGA